GCCCGCCGCCCCGCGTCGCAGATAGCAGGCCCGGATGGCGGCAGGGCAGGCGGGATGGCGCTGTCCTGCCCTGCCTGCAGTATGCAAATTATCCGCCATCTTTGTTGGTGGTTAATTTGCATATCGCGCTGATTAGCCAATGGGAGGCGTAGTGAAGGCACAGTCAATTACCATGTTTGTCTATTATTAGATAGGATTAGGACAATGAGATTAAGTATAGGGATAGGGTGACATTTATTCACAAGCCTGGAAAGTGACAATTGGCATTTGGTTTTACTTTCCTCTTTATTGCTCATTACACATGCAATTTTATAACTTTCTGTAACACGTGTAGCATTTTTAATATTTTCAAGATCATTTCAGAAGAGTGAAACATAGTTCTTGACAAGAGTTTTTTTTTTCTTTTTTTTAATTGTTTTATTGCTTAAAGTATTACACAGAGTATTACATATGTCTCCTTTTTTTTTCTCCCCTTGACCCTCCCCTAGCCTCCCATGCCCCCCAGTGTCTTGTGTCCATTGGTTATGCTCGTATGCATGCATACAAGTCCTTCAGTTGATCACTTACCTCCCCCTCCCATCCCCCAACCCTCCCCAGCCTTCCCGCTGTAGTTTGACAGTCTGTTCAATGTTGCTCTGCCTCTGTATCTATTTTTGCTCATCAGTTTATAATGGTCTTAATTATCCATAAATGAGTGAGATCATGTGGTATTTTTCTTTCATTGACTGGCTTATTTCACTTAGCATAATGAGAGTCAATGATTCTCTCTCATCATTGATGATTCTATCTCTCTCCCTCTCTGAAATCAATAAAAATATATTTTAAAATAATTAAAAATGCATTATCATTATAGAATACTAGAGACCCAGTGCACAAAAATTTGTCCACTGGCGGGGGAGGGGGGTCGGGGGTGTCTCTCAGTCCCACTTGTGCCCTCTCACAGTCTGGGACCCCTCGGGAGATAACCACCTGCTGGCTTAGGCCCGCTCCCCGGGTGGCAGAGGGCAGCCCGATCCCTAGGTGCCTGCCCCACCTCCCCGGGTCCCACACAGGGCAGGGCTGATCAGGGGGTTGGGGCACCACCCCCGGTCCTGCACAGGGCAGGGCCGATCAGGGGGTTGGGGC